ATATCATTAGTTTATAATAAAACGATTGACTCTCAATCTGCTTTCCTTAAAAGAAAAAAAATAAAGAATAAAGAAAACATGGCTAACATTCCACTCCTATTTTCAATACTCTAAAAACATCAGCTTCTTAACAGACTAAATCTACCCTTGTTTTTTGTTCTTTTGGGTTTGTTTTTTTTTTTGAGATTTATAACATAGAAAGTCATGTAATGAATAAATTAGATAGTCAAGGGCCCATCAGAGAAACATGAATAAATTATATCTTCATCCTAAAGACTTTGCTTACAATGCTGCAGATTTACTTCAGGAAAGAAACTTATTTTATATTTAAGTTCATTTATATATCAAACTATGTCTGAGAAAATAAAATAATCTATCAAGTTGTCTGGGATGACTGGGCTTTTTAAATTCCCTTTATGCTTCTTTCATAGTTCAAAGAACTTAGAGGTCATCTTCCTGCTACTTGCTAATTGTTTTTTCTTTTTCTTTTTTTGTAATTTCATCCCGTATTTTACACTTACTTCATTATTCACTGTCATTTTCATGATCATGAAGTAACATTTCTCCAGTTGCTGTTGGAGACTATATGACTTGGTGACACAGGTCCTGTGGCCGGATCATTGAGTCATCACCCATGCAACTAGCGCTTTCCATTAGCCCAGGAAACCACGAAGTCTGGAAAAGACTTCACCCCACCTTTGGGGCCCCACCCAGTCCTCCTGTGGTGCCTCTGCTCAATTCACACACACACACACACACACACACACACACGGGGCTTTTTCACAGTGCTGGGACCCCGAAAGGAAAGATGCCCATGATTATGGAGGCTGAGATTGAAAGGATAGAGTCTCCCCCTCCCACTGTTTGCAGGGAACCCATTGGTCCTCAGCTAGGAGGTCACTGGGGAGATAGCGGAGTCTGCTCCACTTTTACCACACATCCTTACAACCCCTTCTCCGCCCAGCACCCATTTTATGTTTCACGTTTTACATTTTTAAATGTGGTTTATACTTGAGGAAGTAAGTCAGTTTTTGTTTTTGGTTTTGGTTGCTTACCCTCCAATAGCTTTTCACTGGCCTTAGAATAAAATTGTAAATGAAGAAAAATACAGATCATCGCTCACCACCCAGTCACACAAGAATTAGGACGTCAGCCAATGCAGTCACTGACCAATGGTGCACTGTGAGGAAACTAGGATAATAACAGAATGAGTTACTCTGTGCTTTGGACGAGCAGGCCACTTAGATAGTTAGATGAATACCTCAGGATGCATTTTAATGAGTGCAGACTCCCACATCTTCCCATACATAGAAAGCCACTACAATGATTAACCTGGGATATCTCGTCTTTTTGTGAATAGCAGTCATCTTTACCAAGATGTATGCTTGACTGCACATATTTCCCTCCAAAAATCCTATAGAAACTGACTTCTCCTCGACCTTTCCAGAGCAGTTTCCTCAGAGCTACTGAGATGATGTCTCTCAGGTTATATTCTCCACTAAGACCCAAAATAGAACTTAAACTCACAATTCTTATGTTGTGCCTTTTTCTTTTAAGTCAACAAAATCCAAGCTCTTTATGTGACAGTTGTGATCTGGTTCCTATCACATGGGCTCCTTCTGTCCCTGAACATCATCAAATGACTTTCCTACCTCAAGAGCATTACCCTGGCAGTTCCCTGTCCCACCCTTCCCCAAGGGTCTCATCCCCAACCTTCAGTCTCACTTCAGGTATTACTCATTCTCTGTCACTTCATTCTATTTACTTCCTTCATAGCACTGACCACACTGTATAATTATCCTCTTTATTTTGCTGACCTATTATCTTTGTCTTCTCCCTTAACTAGAATGTAAGCTCCATAAGGGTCCCTTGTCTGTCTTGTTCACTATTGTACGCCTCTAAGTAGATGAGGTTTCAGGAGTGAGAACTAGGCATGGCTTTCTTGACAGAAGAGAAGCCATTTTTAACCTAAACCATCTTATGATTTAAGCCTGGCCTCAGTGCTTGTCCTTGAACAGGTCTCAGTAAAAAGGATCTTAAGGGAAGAAAAGGACAAACTGTTATTAGGCAAGAGAAGTAACAATAGCAAAGGAAATGAATCAGCCATAGGACTCCCAGTTCTGTTTCAGTGGTAAAGATTAGCACTTTCTTGATCAGCTTTGCAGAGTTTAAACCCCCCTCAAGCACTAAACCACTAGATCATCTAGAACATAAAGGATGGTGATGTTGACACTTTCTGACCCTCATGACTTCAATCAACTAAAGTTTAGACTCTGTCAACCTTTGCCCCAATTTTTTTGCTGAATTCTCTTGCTCAAGCTCCTTCATGAATATGCATGTACCCTTAGCTTAAAACTTCCCCAAATTTGCTGTTCGGGTAGGAACTGAATTGGGAAATATCCCCAATGTTCTCCTCACATGCTGGAAGTTATAATAAATTCTTCCTTCCTCTGATCTTTGGCTTGGTTGTGTCTTCTGGCTCAACATCCATCAAGAGGCAAACCCAATTTTTTGGATAACATGCCCAGCACCTAGAACTGTGCCTGGAATTTAGTGGTGCTCAATATAATCATTCATAGAAGGGACAAGAATGAGTGCTTAAAGATCCCTCTACCTTCTGCCCCAAATAAGAGTTAGTGGCCATGAAACTGAGCTTCCCCAGTGCATACCATCTTGTGGGAAAACAAGTATCCTGCCATCTAATTTATAGTATAATGTTTCTTCCTAAAGAAAAAGGCAAATACTCAATCTGCTAAGAATTACAGTTAGGGCATCTCTGTCCCACCCCTAGGTTCGATAAAAATTGGATGAATTTAACATCTGAAAACAGAACACATAATGGTTGTTTTCCCTATCTTTCAGGTGTTATGGAAAAGATTTAGCGTCTGCTAAATCTCCATCTAGAGTGCATCCTCAGGAATCCAGGATATAACTGGAATACAGAGATGCTAAGAAACTTAAACTTCTTTTGAGTTGTACCCAAAGGGCTGTGGAATCTGGCCTAGAAATAATGAGCACCAGAAGGAGGGATCTGCCTATGGTTTTCAAAAACTTTATATACTAAGAGAAAGAATGTTTATACAGAGCCAGCTCTTCCTTAAACGTGATTATTTCCCCAAAGCAGAAAAGTGATCCTTTTATAGCTAGCAAGCCCAGAGCTCTCCCCATCTCGGACACCTCCTCTGCCTTCTGTTCTGCTGGCCTGAGCACTGCAGCTGCAGTTCTTCCTAGGTGCCTTTAGGAAGCTGAGCAGGATCCTGTGGGGCCCTTCTGGGCACGAAAGCCTTTCTGTATCCCCAGTTTATTATTTGCAGGATAAAGGCTGCAGCCTCCTAGACCTTCCTGAATACCAAAGGGCAGATTCAAACTGTTGCTAATCAGGGAAGTAAGGGAATTCCGTCAGGAAAGGAGAGTGCAGCTATTCAAGCAGGATCCTGGTTCCTCCTCAAGGAATACACTAACAGTCCCTTTGAGTTCTTCTGCAGGAGCTAAGGCCCCACCCAGGCGGAGGATGGTAATTCGGCTAAGCACAGGATTCCTGGAACACCACTCTGTTACCTCACCAACAACCAGTCAGAAGAAAGTCACACATCCTGCAGCCCTCACTCCACGCTTTGCCTACAAAAACTTCTCCCCCAAAACCATCGATGAGTTCACATTTTTTTTAGTACAAGCCACTCATTCTCCTTGCTTGGGCCTGCAATAAACCTGTCTCTGCTCTAATTTCCAACTTTTCCGTTTTTTCGGCCTCACTGTGCTTCAGGCACAGAAACTTTTAAGGAAGAAACTTACTGAAACTGTGAGTAAGAAACTGTAAGGGAAGGAGGGGCTGGAAGTGAAGCTGCTCTTTAGTTATTTGAATGATTTAATGTCTTGAAGTGAGACTCTATTCATGTATCATTTACAATAAAAAGAAAAACAGTATTATTTTAAAAACAACCTTTAGCTTATCTCCTGTCATGGAGGAAGAAATTCTCTACCCTTCTAGGTTATTCTTCAGAATTAGATTGACATGAAATAGATTAACAGTAGAAAATCAAAAAAAAACTTAATAACACGTGTACATGGAAGAGACCCAGGAAAACTGAGTAACTCACCAAAGGGGTTGAAGTCCTCACCTTAAATACCATCCTTAGCTAAAGACAAGAGAGGATGTTGAAAGTGGGGAGAGTCAATTATGGGATGTAACCAGGAAAAGCACAGGCTGAGCATAAGTTTCCTGGAACACTGCCCTGTTACATCACTACTGTGAATGAAAAATACTGCAAACCATATCAGTAAACAAAGAATGCTGAAGCCATCAAGTCATCAGCAGCTGCCGCCACCCCCCAGTGAAGACAAGCCTGCAGCCCAGCCTCTGCAGCCACTCACCATGGTGCACTCTGAGGGGACTCAGAATAATAAAGGACAGGATACTGGCCCTAGACAGCTAGGTACTTGTCAAACAATGAATTCAATGAGCCCAAAGGTTTGCTTCCTCCCATATACAGAAAAGCACTAAATTCTTTAACTAGAGATGCCTGGTTTTCTTTAGATAACAAGTAATCTTTTATTATTCCAACTACCTGGTCTTTGTTGTAAAGGTCCTATATATCCTAGCTCCTCCCCTACATCTTCAGAGCAGCCCCTCAGGGAGATCTGAGAAGCTGTCATCCCTGCTCAAGTCCTCCTGCCAAATAACTCTTAGGCTGCGCATTTATTTCAGTTGACACCACAAACCAAGCAGAAGAAAGTCACACATCCTGCAGCCCTCACCCCAAATTCTGCCTGTTAAAAACTTCTCTCTCAAAACCACCAAATAGTTTGGGGTTTGGGGAGGGCATGAGCCACTTGTTCTCTTTGCTTGTCCCTGCAATAAACCTGTCTCTGCTCTAAACTCCAACATTTTGGTTCTCTTGGCCTCACTGTTCCTTGGGCACATGAACTTATGTTTGGTAAGACGTACAGAGATAATTGCTTTGACCATGAAGATCAGAACATTAAGAATTTCCAAATGTTGGAGGGATCAGATAAGGAGAAGAAAGATAAATGTTCCCATTCTGCTTACAAAGGTATAATTTACTAAATTGCTGTAAGTCATAATTAGTATAACAGAAAGGTTTTCCTTATATAAAGAAAACAAAAATTGAAAAGGCGGAAATATTTCACACAAAAACTCATAAAAAATTATAATCATATTCATCAGTTCATTCAGTCCTAAATAATTCTTGTTGATTTTCATCTTTTGTTAGCAGGTTTTTTGTCTGTTTGTTTATTTGGGGCAGGGGGAGCAGGAAGTAATAAGATTTATTTTTTTATTTTTTCTTTTAATGGAGGTGCTGGAGATTGAACCTAGGACCTCGTGCATGCTAAGCATACACTCTAACACTGAACTATACCTGGTCCCGCTTATAAATGACTATCTTTAGTTGGCATGGTTAAAGATCTGATTATAATGCAATTGACAAAGAAATTGCTTATTTCTGTGACATAAAACATTTTAAGATAATAACTAGGATTATGACTGATAACATACTAGGACATATTTGAATTTTAGGAATTTCTTATAATTTCTAGAACATTTATATTAATAACATTTATGCATCAATATAACCTAAGAAGGTGGAAAGGTATAGCTCAGTGGTAGAGTGCATGCTTAGCATGCATGAGGTCCTTGGTTCAAACCCCAGCACATCCATTTAAAACAAAAATTAAATAAACAAATAAATAAACTCAAGAACCTCCTTCTCCTCCCCCAAAAAAGAAGAAATAAAATTGTGGAATTTTTTAAAAAGGACCCTAATATAACCTAAGAAGGTTTATCATCACTTATTTGACAATGTTTCTCATGTAATTTAATATCCAAATAAGCCTAATTGAGACAGGAGGGAAGGAGGCAGGTCACAGCCATTCAAGGAGTGACACAGCCATTAACACCAGAATGGTGGAAGATTCATCTCCCAGTGGGCCTTGAGGCTCACATGGCAGGAGATTTGACTTCTAGTAGAACTGGAACTTCATTATATGTTTACTGCAATATATTAGCATGGTAAATGACACTCTCACAGGTGCCATGACAGCTACGAGGCTGCCCCTAAAGGTCAAACAGTGGGCAGTGGCCCAATTCCTAGGAATCCCAGCCCCTTTCCCAGAGTAGTTGGAATGGTCCTCCCACTTGGCATGAGAAGCTACCGAGCCCAT